TTTCCCAAACGCTTATACACTAAAGAAACATTTTCGGAATGGACAAGTTTATGTTTACCTCCACAAAAGCCTCGAGAATGCCTGGCCCCTGACCTCTAGACTTGTGAAGCCGAAACGCTGCTTCGTTAGACATCCTTGACAATTGTATCGCCTGGGTACAGAAATATGGTTGGACAGTTTTAGTACACATACTTAATACCATAAGGATAACAAATTGTACCATTCAAATATCTTACCACGTATCTTTGAAATGGGGCTCTCTGTAGCTGTGTGTCCTCCCTAGTGGCAACGTCGTACACATCTTCGATCACATCTTCCTCGAGTCCTCGTCAATCGCCTCCTCAGTGTACGGGGGCTTGATATGTGCCCTCGTAGACCTGTGAAGCCACCGCAGGTACTCATCGAAGGTGTGCTGGTCGTGTGGAGGATCCATATGGACCGGCTGCCGTTCCTTGGTCTCCCACAAAAGGATGTGCGTTGTGTGTCACACACCAATCCTTGGTCTTATACCTCTTCCTACGGTCAAACCTGTAACAAAACGATTTTAGTTGTACCACACACACCTCTGAATTGTAACAATAACGCACACGTGCAATCCTTGGTTGGTGAAGTAAAGCGGTGGTGGATAGTCTGTCATTCTTCCAAATTGTCTGCAGATCATGATGGGTAAGTGAATCTCGACCATGTGGAAGAAAATAAGAGGGGTGTTGCAGCGATACTCGTCTAACTCGTCCCTAGTGACAGGACTGAGATAGTACTGGAGCTCCGAAGCATCCCAAGGACACTAATGCACCTGAACATTTCGTAATTGAGTTAGGTTGTGATATAGTGTACATCGAACAAGACACATGTATGATAGTAAAGAGAGCATAACCTGGTGCTGTGTTAGGACGTTGAGACCGTCCGTGTACTCCCTGTACTTGCGCCTCGCATTTCCTCTAACTAACTCTGCTTTCGTCTAGATATATAGAGCTGTAGGGAGTGTATCCTATCCGTTTCATTGCTGCATTGAACACGATAATGAATTAGCCATTAATAAACTCATCATATCTAACCATATCAAAGAATATAATAAACCGAAGTACTTACCGGTAAACCAGTATTAAGGGGCCTCCCAACGGGCCATCGTTCCCAACACCAAACTTAGAGTAGGTACGAGCAACCCCTAAGGTTCGCATACCCTGAGGTGCGATGGCAGGCAACGTATAGCTGTCGATACGTCCATGCCAGGACTGCGCTGCCCCAGCTGTACGCCGCTATGTTCTCCCACGGCTGGTGTAGATGGTATTGCCCGAGACGTCTAGGAAGAGGAAAGCACCAAGAAAGTGCTAGAGCCACACTCGAGCAAACCTATCGATCTAAGCCTCCTCAGCCTGTGGGTCCAAGTAATCAAAGCACTCTATGATCCAGGACGACAAAACACCGGAACTTTTCCTGAAATTGACCAAAGAAAATGAGACCCGATGGCTGCAGGAAAGCAATGCAAGTATTAAATAGGCTTGAATTTCTCACTTATTTTTCTTAGAAGTCTCATCGTCCGGTGGAAGAAAGCCAGTAAACTGAGCCACCAGCTCCCTCCAGTGATCGTTGTCAACTATCCTCTATCACTGGAAGTCCCCTCAACCGAAGGCCAAAAATAGTCTTCACGTCCTGCATGGTCAAGGTCATTTCGCCACAAGGTAGGTGGAATGTGTGGGTCTTAGGCCTCCACCTGTTATAAGAATAGAACGACTGTTAGTTCCCTCAAATTTGTTACAAGAATGTTTACGTATAAATAAGGCACTCGCACCTATCTACAACTGCAGTAAGTAGTGCTGGGTCAAGTGGCGAAAGACCGTAGTTGACAACACGGACAAGCTCGAGGAAGCCAGCACGCCGTATGTACGGCGCGTAATGCGCTCGTCCCACTGGTGCGCCCTGGTGTGCGTGCAGGGCCTCAAAGGAGGCAAGACCACCTCTGCATCGTTGTCACTCAAGATGTGTGCTCGGTGCTGGTCATCGTACTCCACCTCAAAAATGGGATACAGCGGGTGCTGCGTGGGAGGGGCCGTCCTGTTACAAATTGATAAACAAAGGGTTAGAGTATTCAAATTAACAAAATTCAAATTAACATTATGTAGCATTGCAAAATTTGAACTACTTGTTATGCAATACGAACATAATATGAAAGCATATGTATATATTTAAAGTAATATTAACAGACATATTAAACAACTTCACTAAGAATATAAGCATTTGACGAAACTTCATCGAGTCATCAAAATCGACGTATCACACACTAGTAAGTACCGACATTTGAAAACAAGTATCTATATTCAAAATCTCTAACTAAATAAGTAACTATAAACTAAATAATAAATACCTAATCAATTCCTAAACCCAAAATCCTAACTATACTACAACACACAACCTCGAACCTAAAAACTACCTACCTAAATTATAAACTAATTTACCAAAACCTAACTATCCTAAATCACTAATTATCATAAAACTCTAACTATCCTAAATCACTAATTATCCTAAATCAATAACAATCAAAATAGCATGAAATCGAGAGGGAGGTACCTTGGTAGGAGCGGGCGGCCTTAACGCACCGGCGTTCGTGGCGCGGCTGGCGCTGCACGGCGGGAGTGGGCGGCCGCGGCGTGGGCGGGCGGCCGTCCGGGCGCGTGCGGGCGCTGCACGGCGGGCGGGCGGGCTGGCGTGTGTGCGGGCGGGCGGGCTCGCTCGCGATATTTATCTGGCCCTGCCGCGCCATGCGCCGTGACGCGGCACTGCCGCGCTAAGATGGGTGGTGCGACAGGTCCTGCCACGTCAACCATCCGCCTTTTCGGTCGTCGCAACGTCAGCCCCCTGCCGCGCCACCATGCATGACGCGGCACAGACTTTTGGCCGCGCCATGGCAATAGGCAGAAAAAATGTTAGTTTAAAAAAAATAGATAGTGTTAAACTTAAAATTAGTTTTCAAAAAATGTTAAAATTAAAAAAAAAATCACATCACCGCTACACCTCTTCCACCCTCGTTGCCTCGCACGTACAACGGGTCTCTTGGACCCGTCTCCGTGATGTAGTTTTTTCAAAACGGACCCTGCCGGCACCAGAAGATGGAGGCCTCGTCGTCTCATGAGGCGACGGGAACGGCTCGTGGCCCGAGGCCGAGATGCCGACTCCAGAGCGTTGTACGGAGACTCGATGGCGCGCGGATCCCGTGTGCTTTCGCTTGCGCCGGTGTGCTCACCTTCCACAGCCTGCCGACGAGCGCTCGGTCTCTTTTGTGCACGAGAGCTTTGTGGCCTCCCGCCCGCCCGCGCGACCTCGGTGGCCGCCCCTTCGAGACCCTAGCGCTCGTCGCCGGCCGCCCGCTCGCGACCCTAGGTACTGCCGCCGGCGCCTGGTGGCCCGCCCCGAGCCATCCGCCGCTCGCCTCCGAGCCGTAGATGCATGCGCGCCGCCGTCCGAGCTTGGACCGACAGAGCTAGAGCAGCACCCGATACGCGTCGCGGAGCCGAGTGCCGTCGGCCGTGCGAGGCGGCGCGTAGCGATCCCAGGCGGAGTCGCCGAGCGTCCGCACGACGCGGTGGTGGCCAACGTCCGCGCTCCCTCCAGATGCAAGAACATGCTTTTTTTTTATAATAGATAAATGTCTGTGCGTTTGCACCGGGACTATACAATTTTGTAGCTCATGTGACGTACTAGATTCTTTGGGAGCTGAAATTATTTTAAAAACGTTTGGAAAACAGCTACGCTAAAGATTGAAATGTCTATAGCCTCTTTTTCTCTTTTTTAAAACCCTTTCTTTTCTTTCTAATTTTTCATTTTCTATTTTTTTCTTTTCTTTCTACTAGTACACGTGCTAACACTACGGCAACATTTTAGTATATGCAAATTAAAATAACCAAAAGATGGTTTCACTGCGCAAGACTTGCCCATTACACTTCAACACATCACAATGCAAACCGATTATTTTGAGAAATCCTTTTTAGTTACATTGACTTAAATATCTTCAAAAAAAGAAGAAGAATGTCATGCCTCGCTCAAAAAAAAAGTATTTCACAAACTGGTACTCTCAAATTACATTATGATGTTTTCCTTTTTGAACAATTACATTGTAACTCCACTAATTACCATACAACCAAATATATAATCATTGGAAATATATATTATAACTTCTAAAATTCTTCTTTACTAAATTGATCTGTAGTTTCTCGACAGAGTAAAATGATGGCAGCCACCGTATACCCCTCTAGCCATCAGCTCGTGGAGGCTCCATTTTGCCTGTCCCGAGCTGAACCGCAACATGCACTTGGGTCCACCTCGACCCCTCGGGGTCAATGATGCTCATATGAAACAGGGGACTAATCCAACTATCAAAAGAGCTTACAGAACATAAACCGAATGACCAACCTTGATAACCATTCCTTTGCCATTTCATGACAGGGATTACTCACGGGGCTGATTTTGCCCAAAGTAACCTGTAGAATTTTATCTGAAATCCATCAAGTTAGCAAGTCCGAAGCAGTTAGGTTAAATTCAGGCAGATTTTAAGCAACTAAAGTACATATTCACTGTGGTCTGTTAAGCAACTGAAGAAAGATGTTAAGCAACTGAAGAAAGATTGCTTGTTTTGCTATTAAGAAAAACAACACAAAATAAAAGTAATGAGTTGTATGGCATGCAGACTGCCTATTGTAGGATACATTGTATAGCAATGGTGGTGGCCTATTTATTTTTTATTTCAAGTCCTGGACTGCTGAACCGTAGTTACTTCCTAGCGGCTTTTCTTTACTATTTAGTAGCCATGCACAAGTATCATCTCCTATCTAACAAACCAAAGAGGCATATTTCTTTCTTCCAAAATTCATATTGTACCCTTGTTCCATCCACAATTACCAAACTGAAGAAAAAATAGGCAAATGGATCAACAAATATGCACCGCAGGAAAAAAAAGCACATCAATAACAGACACAACATTCATACCACAAGAATTTTGTTCCCTAACCTTAGAGTTTTCTTCCCTTCCTCCACCTAGCCTCAGAATAAACTACACAAGCGTGCATGACTTCAGAATAAAAATCTGCGGAACAACTTGAGTCATGTAGCCTCAGAGTTTTCTTCCCTTCCTCCACCTTGCACTGCACATCCATCACCACCTCTCTGAACGACCCTAATCCCCCCAAAAAAAACAAGTTTTTAATCAGCCATGCAGTGACATTGCCAGATTTGCAGTGACAGCAACATTTATCCACAGGCACACATATTTATACCTGCCATTATGTATTTGTCTGGCAATTTCCTGTAAAAGTTGTTATAACCCCCCACACACACTGATTTTCTCTCAAATTTCTTGCTACAAGCAGCTTGCAAGTTTGCTAAGAAACCAGTATGAATGCTGCCTAGAAAGAAGAACAAATAGATAATTCATAGCACTAAAAAAACATTTTACATAGTTATTACCGCAACTTGCACGGAAAGGAAGGTTACAATGCAAAATCACCTGAGAATGGAGAATCGATGGCTTCACTCGTCTAGTGTTGTGTTGAACCTTGTAATACTTGCTGCTCGGCTGGACATGTCTGCACAAATAAAAATTTTGTTTATTAAAACATAATTAGGAAACTTGAACAACTGATTTTCTAACTACCTTTTCTGTGCATATTGAATATGCACTCTCTTGTACTCATATTTTGCTTGGTGATTAACAAAGCTGGTTCCTTCATTAACAACTTTTTGATACCTCTCCAGATGATTCATCTCCTGTTTGTTGTCATCACTAATTTATCCGGTCTATATAAAATCTGTATTAGTCCATTTTTCAGTGTTAACAATCATTATTGTGTGTTTGGATTCATGTTTCTATTGTAACCTGTTATAAATGAAGATCGGTAAGGTTTAGGATCATGGTAAATAAAAGTCTGCAAAATTGTATCAAAGAGTAAACACGATGGGACTGAACCTTACAACTGAACGATAACTGAATCAAAGACACTGCATTTTGTTACATCTATGGGCAAGTATTTCGACAGGAAAAGAATCCTAATGTAACTAATTTTTTTGGGTCTATCGATATAGTTTCGTATATATTATTCTTCAAAATTATTAGTTGAATCCACGAATCTAAGAGGGACCTGAATTTGGTGGAGTATTCCTTTCACATATTTCTTCACAAGTCAGTGCTCAATCCCTTCTCCAGTTTTATCACTATTAATTAATAATATGATATTTTATGCCAATCATTATTCTGCAAGCAAGCATTCACAATAATTTTGATTCTATATACAGCTCAACTAATTATCCCATCTCTCATGTCCTTGGCGTTGTGATTATGTAAGCAGGGTATATGATCAGAGAAAGCCTGAAATGGCAGGAGCAGAAATACGAATACCTGCTGACGAGCAACTGAATCCTCCTCTCCTCTCTGACTTCCACATCCCAGACGGTGCACGGATGCTTCCGCTGCTTCCTCTCCATTGCATCCGCCTTGATGCCGTCATACAGTAGGCAACGGAACCTGTCGCCCCTCCTCTCCACGAGGATCTCCCCCTCAAGCCCTCAGGCCCGTCCGCCTCCTCCCCTGTCCCAACCGCGTGGGGGGCGCATAATTTATCTAGCATAATTTTGATTGGTAGAATAGAGATTTTGTATCACTGTGTCTACCTTATCCAACATCTCTTCGCCGCATGGAGCCATGGACTTCGGCATCTCGACCGTGATGACCTTTATTTTTTTTCTTTTTTATCTTATTCTTTTTATTTTTTAATTTCTTCTTTTATTTATGTATTTTCTTCTTTCCCTTATCCCATCGCTGCCATCCCCGGGAAACCGGGATTCCGCGGCTCGACGCACTGCGAAATCCTCTTTCTTCTCCACCGCCCCACCGCTCCCGCTCGGCCTCCTGCGCACCTCCCGTACGTCGCGCCGCTGAGTGGCGCACTTCCTCCTCCGCCCGTCCCTCACGTCCTGCCTCCCGCGCCGTCTCGCATCGCGTCGCCGCCCCGCCTCCCTCCGTCGTTCCTGGCCACCGGGCTTCTTCTCCGTTGCCGGCTACGCGCGTGAGGAGGTTGGAGGATCCGCAGCGCGTGGATCCAGGGGCAGCGGTGTCCATCAATGGGGCCTGAGCCTAGCTTGGTGCAGATGGAAGACTCCGTGCAGACTCGGAGTTTGGACTTTGGACGCTGGCCGTGGTTGGACGAAAGCTACATTGCGATTTCTGGCAGAACTCGAAATCGGAGGCGCGCGCACCAACACCTGTTGGACGAAAGTGTATCCTATTTTTTAGGTGGTAATAGATTACAACAACACACGAATATTTGATTGCTAGTGAACAAGCTGAAATACTTTAAGTATTTTAGTCATATTTCGGTGATATACTTTGAGAAATATACTATTGCAATTCATAAAAAGTTCAATGCAAACACATCGCTATACAAAGTGATATGCATGATTGATCTTTGCTCCATATAAAGCATTAAACACCTTGTAAATGACTCTTTGTCTATTGTTGTATGACCTGTATTTTTAGGTGTCTCTACATTAGATTCGGGGCTTTTACAGATAAGGGGTTGTCTGTAGGCTGTACATGCCCTAAATCTCACCCCTCTCCCTCGTCAACGACACCCTGCCTATATCGAGTTAACTAGAACCGTGCCATTATAAATTTGACGTTTTTAAGAAACACGGCTACTATTCACCTAATAAAACTGGTGTCATAACATTTTCATAAAAAACTGAAAAATACTACTTTTATACGCGTGTAGGTTATTTGGTCCCATATAAAGATCATGATGCCTTCGTGTGGACCGGCATGGCCCATTCTACTCTTCCTCCCTCCATACAAAGATCATGGGGGGATGTTTTCGCTGTGCTGCCCTTCCTTCTATTCATTTACCTTTAGCCGCCGCCGGCCGCCGCATAACCATCTGATCTGAAAAGTTTCCAGGCTTCTTTGGGCTCGGCCCGGCCCGGTCGCGAATTGCTGTCTACTCTTACCTCCTCCGCCGCCGGCGTACGGTTGCAGACAGAACCGGCACAGCCGCCGAAGATGTCGATCGTGGTGGCGCCGGAGGTCGCGGCCGCTCTCGCGCGCTGCGGGGCGGTCGTCGCCCTCGAGTCCACCATCATCTGCCACGGTCAGCTTGCTCCTGCCTTTTCCATCCGTTTCCCTTTTCATTCGCGTCGCCTCCCTCTTCTGGCTAGCTTGGCGCATCAACGTTCGATTCGATTCGATTCAATTCCATGGCGTGCACCATTTAATGAATGTCCCTTGACTGCAACATGCTTCACGGGTCCCGTGTAGGTATGCCGTACCCGAAGAATCTCCAGACCGCCATGGAGGTGGAAGCCATCGTCAGGGACAATGGGGCTATCCCTGCCACCATAGCCATCCTAGACGGAGTTCCCCATGTCGGTCAGTTCTCAGCTTCTTCACGTGCTGTTGCTGGATTGCCTTCTTCTCGAATTTTGCTAGTATCCGTTTCGTCCTTCCTTCACTCTTTGAATTTGGAGACATATTTCCTTCTTCTCAAGCTAGCACCCAAAACATCATTCTAGCTTTCTTTTTTTAGCAACCATGCATCTGCAAAACCATATTCGCAGTGACAAGACAACGTGACTATCCAAATTTCTAAGTCAAATTATACTGTAAATTTTACATTCTACCCTTGACACTATTCTTGTGATAATAATAGGCCTTAACAGCGAACAATTGAAGAGACTGGCTATAAGTGGAAGGCAATTTCAGAAGACGGCTAGAAGGGATATTGCCCATGTTGTGAGTGCCCTGCACACTAGAAACTATCCATTCTCAGGTTCCATGCTATCTGCTGTTCTTCTGCTATTTACACAAGAAAAAGGACACTTCACATGATTTATGCCTCAACAATCTGCCTCCTTGCTGACATATAAGCAATGGAGACCTTTTTCGGCCACCATCTCCAAATCTGGGCGACCTTATGCATACATTTGTACTCCCTTTGTGTTTAACTGTCTTTTTATAGTTAGTCATATACCTATATTTGTTTCTTTCCCTTTTTTTTCTATCTATTTGACAGGTCGCATCTGGTGGCAATGGCGCAACAACAGTTTCGGCCACTATGTTCTTTGCTCACAAGGTGCTGAAAATATCTCTTCTAAAATCATTATACCTGTCTTGTTTATCTTGGCTTGATCTGATATCATTTCCATGTTAGTACCAACCACTCTAAATAAATTAAGCTCTTTCCAAATTCAGGTTGGCATACCGATTTTTGTTACAGGGGGAATAGGAGGTGTGCATAGACATGGTGAACAAAGTAAGCATTTTCTTATTGCGTACTTATTTTGCTGTATGTGTGACACTGGCAGGAAGTTGTTGTATCTTGGCTGCTTATGATTTATCTCTTTCAATCTCGTCTCTCGCACAGCTCTCTGTGACCCCCTAGTTAATGTATGATATTGATGATCTTCCATCAACTGCTGATTGATGGATTTAAACTCTGAAGCTGAAAGTTCATTGAATAAAATTTGTTCTCTTTTTTTGATTTTTGAAGCACAACATTCAGAATGCACAGTTAAACTAAACTAGCATTTGGGCATGGTCAAGCGACAAACAGTTGTACATTGATTGATGAAGTCACCATTTCGATGCAGCTATGGATGTCTCCTCAGACTTAACTGAACTTGGAAAGACTCCTGTAGCTGTTGTATCAGCAGGTGTGAAGTCCATTTTGGACATACCGCGGACACTTGAATACCTGGTAATATACTTCTGTTTGCTGTCTTCCACGGATAACTTGGTTTAGTAGAATGAACTTTCATGTAGAATTGTAGATTGCTTTCATCTTTAGCTGTTAAGATGTAAAATATGGATAGGATGTACTTGAGGAATGTGTTCAGGTTTTGTTATTGTTATAATGTTATGTGCACATATATGGGTCAAGACGACAACACTTGTGCATATCTGTCTGCGCAAGAGTTATTGAATAGTGAAATAAAGGTGTTGCCTGAATCTCGTCACTTCTCTTTGCATACTGAGCTGGATATGAAAGTAGGAAAGTGTGGGCTGGAAATGAGTTGATGCAAAATTAGATTAATTCATATGCAACTTCTGTCACCAGTACACAAAGGCTTTTTGTTGTAAGATACTGGTATGAAAAGTTGCATATGCATATGAATTAATCTAATTTTCTCACCACTATCTTTTAATTCGAAAAAAGAAGCACCTTTGCTTTGGAACTCACTTTTCCTTGGTTAGCACTTAACTCGATTTAAAGGGAACCAAAACGTAAACTTATTGGTGTTTGTTATTTTAAAGGGACCCATTTGTTCATGTCTATCCTGAATGACCTGAGATCATCTTTTCAGTAGAAGCTCACACAAAAGCTCTTGTGTTGCTTGACAATCGAGTCAATATGTGGTGCTTAATATGAGAGTAATATTGTAGAGTTTCGTTTGTGTTTCAGCAAGATACCGTGCAAGGTACAATGCTTTGCTCATGTTCAGTCGTGTGATCTTATTAGTCTATTGCATGACAGGAAACTCAAGGGGTAACAGTTGCTGCTTACAGAGCCAATGAATTTCCCGCGTTCTTCACAGAAATTAGTGGATGCCAGGTAATACCTTTTCTTCTGTAAGATAAGATATTTGTCTTGTTGATACTTGGAATATAATTGCCATACCGCTGAAAGAGCCAAATGCTTTCATCTGAACCAACGGTGGCTTAGCATGATTCAATTGCAACTTAAGATTGTTCATAATTCAATGAAGTTGTGGTTTGTACACGGAGTGTGGTGAGGTTCGAAAGAGAAGGTTTGGTAAACTGCTTTATATATCTTTCAGTTTGGACAGTTCGCTAGAGCACAGTCATTGAAAACAGCTAACTTTAAGCTTTCAAGTTCAAGGCATAACCTTTTAAGTCTTTTGAGTTTCACCATCCTTGAATCGCCCTTCCTATTCACATCCTCATTGTTGTTTTCCTTTTACCCAGACTCTGCTATCTGTATCCTGTCCTGTAACTTCTAAACCCTCCCTTCTATCTTAATGAAAGGGCAGTGCTCCTTCTTATTTTTACTTTAAGAAAAAACTTTTTACTCTTTGTAATATTTGTTTTTTTCTCCTCCAACTGCATTTGTATTTATAAATGCTTCATGTGTCACATAGTCTATCAGCTAATGCTAAGGCAACTAGGCAAGTATGGAGATTTTTATATATGATTTTAGCTTAACAGGATTTTGCGCCACTTCTGTGCCTATGTTAGTCTAAAGGACATTTTCCTCATCTCAGTGTTTGACAACTATGCAATATGGCCTCTTGCAAATAATTCAGTAGAGTACATACTGCTGGTCTTGCAGTAATTTGGCACTATCACAGAATGATTAGATATGCAGTTAGGCCCTGTTGCAAGGGGTGCTTTTCTTGATTCTTATGGACTTTGGAGTTGAAACGTTCCTTGCAATATTCCTGCAATTTCTTTTTCATCCAAGCAGGCTCTAGTA